GTTCTGCAGACGTTTTCCTCTTTTGTTTTTTTATCCGCCATCTCTATCTTTCTGTCGCTCGGCTCGGCTAATGTCCGTCCCATGCACTGAAAGCTCTCTCCTCCACATCACGAGTAGACACGCCCCTTATTGCTGATTGGCTTCAAGTTTGTTTTGCTATTCGGCCCGAATCAGTTTTCTAAAGTGTTTTTGAAAAATCACATACCCTGCCTTTAAGCTAGTGAGAATTTGGTTCAGAGATTGGGGTTTAGTGGTTTAGCAATTCAGAAAAACTGTAAATGCATAATGCATAAAAATTATCTAAAATTATCTATGTCCATCTATTTAACCTAGCAGAGTTTTACTTTTTAATTGCATTTGTGCTCTGCAAAAGCAACAAATGTTTGACAGACAAACAGAAAATATAGGTATGCAGATTCTGTGGCTCTGAAAAATGTGCATTATCTTGATAGAGTGCTTGAAAATCAATTTTTTTCAATATTGCCACAAGACATGTCTGTCTACATGCCTGGATAGATATGTCTTGTGGCAGCAACTTGTTGTGTTTCATGGACTGTAGCCGATGTTCTTTTACAGTAGACTGACGAATAAAGAAATTTTAATTGATGGATGGAATTAGGTTGCGCTTGAATGTATTGCACAATTAACAAACAGCAATTCATTATAAAGAAATAGAGTTCAGAAGGCATTAGAATTTATTATTAATTGTGCTAAAGCAAGGAGCACACTCAGGGCAAGTGTATTAATTAAATGCAAGTGAAAAAGTTAAATTAAAATGAAATATGAAGAGAATTAAAGGAGGAGAAGTCATCGTAATAATAGCGTACAGGTTCAGGTCATATGCAAGGATAGATAAGGTTGTCTGCTCCATGTAGTCTTTGTTGATGTTTTTGCAAGCCCCAGGATTAGAGTTTCCCAATTTGAAGCAGAAAAGTGGAGATTTGTTGGAATGCTTTACTGCGCACCATTTATAACTGTTTATAATATTCTGTGTCTGCATATTTTCTCTGTGCACATTATTCATCAGAGTAAAAACAGGAACTATGAAAACCTCGACCAACTGTCCTTTGACAACAAGCGAGGACCCAAGGTATATTTGCATGGTCAATGCACGCCGCCCAAAAGTTATCTGAAAGTAGCCACTAGAAAGCAGTCAAACAATCAACAAACCGATTCCAGAGATCCTTATCCTGCCAGCACGTCTATTTATTTGTTTGGATTCTTTTTATGATTTCAATCAAGAATGGGTTATTTTTTCTGTTAAAGCGTATACAAAAACTCGCTACCCCACCTCTCACTTTTTTATTTTTGTGTAAAGGAATGCATGTATTGAAGCCAGCAAGATTGCAAGTCTATTCTTTTGACACAGTGCGTGGAGATCTGGTCGTGAGGGACAGTCACTATCCAGATGTTACTCCCACCTTTCTGCAGCAGGAATGCATTTTTTTCTTTTTTTTTTTTTTTTTTTTTTGTTTGTTTTTGGTTGGGAAAGAAGCCACCACCACCACCACCACCACCTTCCTTCACCTGTTTTTGCTTTCCGGTTGCATCAATCTTCTTCTCCCTCTTCCTCTAACATGCACGCTTTTCCTTGGAATCTTGATTCCCTTGAGTTTGCATGTGAAAATGCAGAACTTTTTACCTGCTCCAAGCTTTCTTAAGTTTTTTTCATTTAAGCAGATTATTAAACAGATTAACTTTTTTTACTTCATTTTTTTCAAACCCCCTCCCCCCTCCAAAAAAAAAAGAAAGAAAAAAAAAGAGAAAAAGGAGAAAAAAATGCAAGCGCTCAAAGAGCATGGTTCATGGTGGGGATGAGTCAACTACTTGACTAATGTTGTGTCCTAATCCCAGGCAGAGAAAGTGCTCCTGTTCAGCCAAGACACAAATCTGACGGCTCTGCTCCAGGAAGCCAAAGAGCTAGAGGCCCGAGTTATCATCCTTTCTGCAAGGTGAGTTCATCTCCACTGTTTAACCCATTACTCCTAATCGCTAATGTTGCTGAATAATACAAGAGACTGACTTAGTGCAAGCAAAAATGGTGAAGCCTGGGCTGGAGAATTCTAAAAAGATATTTGTGCTGCTATTTAAATCAGTTGGAATTTGAACTGAATTGGTCACATCTCACAAGAAGTTGGAACTGATTTAGAATTAAAATGGATTGGAATGAGGACTTTGATTGGATTGATTTACTAAATTGCAAGTCAAAGAAATTCAGATAGTGCTTTCTGGGAAATAAAGTGTTCTATCTTGAGGCTGTATTACAGAAACATCCTAACTTAGAATCCTATTCTATCTGTTTAGTAACTATGGTCATTTTCCCTTTTTCCACATATTTTCCCACATATTTTCACAAGTCAAAAATAAAGATAGAAAGTTTCTGTAATACAGCCCCATGTCCACAAAAGTACATTTGCTAAATACATTATAATATAATATGTCAAAATGGCCAATTGATATATATATATATATTCAGAATCCAAAATCATGTTTGGTTCAAAATTCAGTTTAGATTCAGGAATTGAATCGGAATTTAAAAGACATTCTCAGTGCACTGCGTATATTTGAAAAGTGAACCAGTTCAGTGAGTTTATACATTAAAATATTAAAAATCATAGCAAATAAAGCTAAAATGATGTCCGGCCTCAGTACAATCACTTCATAAGGCATTTTCTGATTAAATGAGCCAACATCTAATTTGTTAACAAGAGATTGCCTCAAAATGTCAAACAGTTTCTCTGCCCTTCATGAGTCACTCATAATCAGGCCCACACAGATTAAACAGACAGACTTAGGGGAAATCTGAGGCATTCTGCGTAATATGGCAAAATGTGTTTACACTCTTGCTGGTGACTACAAACATATTTAACATAAAAATACACTAAGAAATGTGTAGAATATTTGATACGCTGATACTCTTGTTCATAACATTATAATTGGAGGTGTTTACTCCAATCACTCCAGTCTCTTAATACCAATCTTTACCCAATCACAGTGAAGATGAAGCCGCAGCCATTTACAAAGCGGCACGCCAGCTCAATATGACAGGTTCTGGTTATGTGTGGCTGGTTGGAGAAAGGGAGATGTCTGGTAAAGCACTGAGTGAAGCCCCAGATGGTATGTACTTTTCATCCTCTCCATTTTCATCCACTTGTTCTCTCTCTCTGTCTCTCTCTCTCTCAGGCTTTTTAACAAACTGAACATGTTTGCCTTTTAAGCTTTTTATACGATTACAATTTGCAATCCCCATCAACGAATCAGTGTCTGTGCTGTACTTGCGTGTTTAAACGTTTAAACATCTCCATGTTTAAAGGTTTAAAACAGTGATTCTTTACTCATTGTACTATGCTTTATGTCTAATGTTTAATTTGTTTCATTTTTGAGTGTTTGTCCTTTCTTTCAGTAGACAACAAATGATGCAATTGAGAGTTGTGGTAATCCATATTGGTTTGAATGTGCATAAATTTTTAAGGTTTGGCTGTCATGAGTTTATTTATAAGTGGTGCATTGCTACCTCCACATTGAGGTGTGGATACCATGGTAAGCGACAACCGCATTTCTTTTTTCCTGGCTTCTTTATATACACATCCATGTTCAACTTCACGCCATTCTACTGACCCTGTCCTAACCCCCCATGACTTTCACAGTCCTTCTGTCTGTTTTGAGACAATTTATCGCTCATATGCAATGCACGTTTGTTTCTCTCTGCCAATGTGTGCATTTCTTTATTATGAGTATGCATTGACATGCTCTTGAAGTGAGAGTCGTGTTGTGAGGCATTGGCCAACACCATGTAATGTTGTCAACTGGGCAGGCTTGCTCGGCCTTCAGCTTATCAATGGCAAGAACGAGTCTGCGCACATCTACGATGCCGTGGCTGTGGTGGCCCAGTCCATTCAGGAGCTCTTTGAGAAGGAGAATATCACAGAGCCTCCTCGAGGCTGTGTTGGCAATACAAACATCTGGAAGACTGGCCCACTCTTCAAACGGTGAGGCCAGGGATGAGCGCTGGCTAGCATTCGCTAGCTTTCCAACCAACCATCCATTTGCTGTCATGCATTATCATACATAACCACTGGTCTGGCACTGACAAGAGTGGAAGCTTTCACACCACAAACATTGAAATCGTTAGCTTTTGGCTTCTGAAACCATGCCTTAACTCCTCAAACAGAGTAATAATCGAGTGCAAGGACACATCAAGCCTGTTAAGTTGTTGATTACATTGGCCTTGTGAAATCTGGTGGCACCTATTTGCATTTGAGACCCAATTTGAGACCCTTACAGGTGTCATTTCTGTTCTCCTATGTCTGTGCCTGCACATTATACGTGCCATCTGACTCCACCCCACCCCACACGACACCCCCTAATTCTTTCCTATTTAGTCATGTCTTTTCCTAAGACATACCTGCATCTCCCATCTCTGAATTTCTGGTTAACTTCCATTACTTCCAGTCATTGTCAATGTCTTCCTTTTTTGTTTCAATGAGCATTTTGTGCCTTTTCTAAAAAAAAACCTCTGGTGTACTAGAGTGCTGATGTCATCCAAGTATCCAGATGGCCTGACAGGCCGCGTGGAGTTTAATGATGACGGAGACAGGAGGTTCGCCCACTACAGCATTCTGAACTACCAGAAAACCCGGCTGGTACAAGTGGGCGTCTACAATGGCTCGCAAGTATGAAATCGGCCCAGCCTTTTTAATGAGCTGTCTTTCTGCTCGGTGCAAACATTTGCTATTTTAACAGTTTGGACAGTTGCATACTGTAATTTTATTGTAACACTTTACAGTAAGGTGAAATCAGGAAGGGGGCCAACACTTTTTCACACCACTGTAAGTATCATCAATGAACAACCATTTTTTACAGCATTTATTTATCTCAGGAAATGTTCATTTATAAATATACTATAGTTCATTATTATAGAAAGGAATCCAAGGCACTTCTTCTGGTCCAAAAAAGTTAAAAAGCCTTCACATTATGGCCATCATAATAGAAACATTAAAATGACTAAAACACTGCACACTAAAGCATTTCAGCCTTCAGCCTTCCTTAGAGTGTATCAGGTATCAAATGAATTACAGGTGTAGGTACAATTAGTCAGTGAAGTTGGGAGAAACCAAAAGAACCATTACAGGGGGATATGTCGAATACCCTATATACCTATAGGGTATATGTCGAATGTCACCTAACCAAACCCGGAAAACAGGGGCAAGTTCAAGCTCAAACTGGTGCACAACGTTTTGCTACAGTTTCCGGTTTGAACGACGTTCGAACGAACGATGTTTCCTGGAAACGGTGTGCAACGGGGTTTGAGATGCGTTTTCTCTTCTTTGGTGGGTGTGTCAAACATGTCAGCCCAATCAGCAGCGACATGTATAAAATGTATAAATGTATAAACATGCTAAATGCTGATTAATGTAACATAAAAATACTATACATATTTATATATTTTGCTATTGTATTGTGGACTGACAATTTCATAAACTTTTCTATACTCCTCTGATTATATAATGGTGAATATTACAATAACATAGCACAACAAAAGCGATCAGCAATAATGATAGGCCTAATACTCACAATAAAAATAATAAGGTCATATAGATCATAACACAGTCTCGAAGTTAAGAAGTGGATTATCCTTCACCTGAAATGTTTATCTTTTCATCCTGAAATGCTCACAATAATCACAATAGGATCACAATAATTAGGAACCACATTTTCCACAAATCCCTTCTCTCAATTGGGATGTTCTCTTTTATTCTGGATGGCAAGGGCAGTGACTGGAACATCGAGCGTATTTTGCAGTATTATAAACACGTATTTATACCGATTTCATCAGGCTCCAAAAATTCTTCAAAAAGAACACAAAGAATGGTCTTCTCAGCTGCCATATTTGCAACTCTTGCGCCATCAAAACAGTGTGTTCAACGCACCACCATTTCCGTTTAAAAAACGTTTTGCACCGTTTTGTCGGGGCTGAACGCAGCCCAGATCTCATCGCTTCCGCTTTTCTGAGAACGTGTTAACAGCCGTATTAAATAATTGCGATATCTATGGACTTTGAAGATAATCAGTTAAACTAGCTAGCTATTTTTATTGTTGACATTTTATTCAATTTTTATATCTAAATGTTAGTGAAAAGAATAAAAATAAACTTTTAGATATCAATCCGCATATGTGATGCACATTGGTTATGATAATCTTTGGTATCTATCTACTTTGAAGGCATCTTGGGTAAAACAGCTTCATATTTAATGAAGCATATGCAAAACGCTTGAACCGGAAGCGACGAGACCCGATTAACAGAATACGGAAGTCTGTTGCGCATAACCCCTATAGCCTTGTTAACCATTACAAAATATAATAACAGAAGAAATAAATAAATACATAAAAAATAATAATACATTAAAATGAAAATAAATTAAATAAAAATAAATAAATAAATAAATAAATACAAAAAAGACAATAATCATTTTAGTAGGCCTAATGGTTTTACAAAAATTAAGTCAAGTCTAATTCTTCATTCAACCCAGGAAAAATGGTAGCTTTTAACTGAAATATCCAAAAAACTTTGGATCCAGTCACTGTTTCCTAGCCAGTAATTTTTAAAGTAGATGGATTAGAATCATGAACAGATGCATAGTGCACTGCCATAGGGTAATCTTTAGGCTGCGTTTACACTTGGCATTAACATGCGACCTGTATCCGGATGTTGTCCACATACACATTTAAAAGACAAGTGTAAACGCGCTTCTGATCGGAATGTTATCCGATCAGCGTGTCCTGGTCCAGAGGTAGTCGAGGACGCATTGTGATCGGATCTCAGTATAATGTAAACGCAATCCAGCCTCGTGTCTGCATTCGCAGGTCGACATCACGCAAAACGCCGCCCCCTCTCTCCCAATCTGTCGGAAGAACAGAGCGCTAGTGAGACTCGTACATTTATTTTGATTTGTAAAATGTCCCGTAACTGGTTTTATGTCACTTCCTGTCTCCCGTGGTGTTTGTAGTCAGTTTGTAGTCTGTTTGTTCATTGGTTCCCCTTGATTAGTCTCCCCAGGTGTGTCTTGTTATCTTGTTAAGCTTGTTAGCCCCCTGTGTGTATATATAGCCCTAGTTTTTCTTTAGTTCCTTGTGGGTTGTTGAATGTAATGGTTGTCTGTTTGCCAGTCATTCTGTTCTTTGTTCCCTTTGGTTTTTGCCTTATTGTTTGTTCTAGTTTTTCCATGAAATACCAGCACATAGATCCTTGCCTCTGCCTTTTTTCCACAGCTTCTCCACAACGTTACAATTTTTCACTGGCATGTCTCTTTGACTAGTGCATCTTTGAGCCTATATTTAGTATAAGTAAAATACTGTTAAAGTATTTTAAAGTACTGTTAAAGTACTGTGTAAAGTACTGTTAAAATCAGATACTCTAAGACTTTTACTCAAGTTGTTTTGGAATTGGTGACTTGTAACGTGTAGTGGAGTAATTCTCACTGTACCTATATTTAGTATAAGTAAAATACTGTTAAAGTATTTTAAAGTACTGTTAAAGTACTGTGTAAAGTACTGTTAAAATCAGATACTCTAAGACTTTTACTCAAGTTGTTTTGGAATTGGTGACTTGTAACGTGTAGTGGAGTAATTTTCACTGTACGGTATCTGTACTTTTATTCAAGTATGGTTTTTAGGTACTCTTTACACCTCTGCGGTTATCCAGATCGAGAAGTCAGCTGATGTTGCCAAGTGTAAACGCGCCGTGTCCTGATTGACTGATGATCCGATCTGCTTGATCAGATCACGGTGATCGCATGTTAATGCCAAGTGTAAACGCAGCCTTGTACTAATTGCATTTTTATGATCCCATAGTCTTGTCTTACAATCTACGCTTAATTTGACACAAATAGAAACAGTTGCTAGGACATTGAAGCCTATAGATTACATACGTGCTTACAGTTTATACAGGGTCTAATTGAATATATTTTCTTTGTGCAGTTTTCTTTGTATACTATAGTTCATTATTAATTTGAAGTACAGTAGCTGTTAATTCAATTATACAAATTTACTTTTTAACAAGGTATTAGTATATGTAGAAATGTTAACATTTCTACGAAATTAACATTTAACCAAGATTACTGTTTGAAAACACTGAAAAAACAACATTTACACTTATTTTAAATGATGCTTACAAATGAGCAAAAAAAAGAGCAAATGCAGTGAAAACATCTCTCTCTCTCTCTCTCTCTCTCTATGTATATATATATATATATATATATATATATTCTGTTATTGTCTGGAAAAAATTATATGAAATTGTTTTTACAATATTCCAAAGTAAATTCATTTATAGTAATGGAAATGATTGAACGTTACTGACAACAAAATATTTTGTTCTAGGTTGTAATGAACACTCAGAGGAAGATTATTTGGCCAGGAGGAGAGACTGAAAAGCCAAAAGGGTATCAAATGTCAACAAGATTGAAGGTACTTTATTTCAAGGCTTTTTATGCATCATTGTTTTTTTTCTAAAATAATAAATAAATAAATAAATAAATATAATAAGAACATTACATTGACATTTAGTTCTCTCGTTCCTTTGGTAGATTGTCACCATTCATCAAGAGCCCTTTGTCTATGTGAAACCAACACTACGAGATGGAACATGTAAGGAAGAGCACACTGTAAATGGAGTCCTGATCAAAAAAGTGATCTGCACTGGCCCTAATGAGACCATTCCAGGTAGACATTATGTATTATATTATATATAGTTTATTGGACTAAAGTGCTTTGTCCAGATCTGACTGGCTTGTGTAACTATAGGTCGCCCCATAGTGCCTCAGTGCTGCTATGGGTTCTGCATTGACCTTTTGATCAAACTTGCAATGACAATGAACTTCACCTATGAAGTGCATCTAGTGGCTGATGGCAAATTTGGCACTCAGGAGCGTGTGAGTAATATGATAACCTTATTGATTCTTCACCTGCCTGAAGCTTTGCATGTCTTTTTCAAGGTCATGCAAATAGGCTTGTCTGCGCATTTCCAAGTCTTTCTTCACAGATGCTGTTAAGAATCTGCTGAAATATACATAAAGTAAAGTGCATTTAGGCATGACAAATTGCTTAATGTTATCTCCCTGATGCCAGGTAAATAACAGCAACAAGAAGGAGTGGAATGGCATGATGGGAGAGCTCCTGAGTGGCTTGGCAGACATGATTGTGGCTCCACTTACAATCAACAATGAACGAGCCCAGTATATAGAGTTCTCGAAACCGTTCAAGTACCAGGGGCTCACAATACTTGTCAAAAAGGTGAGCCTCAGATGACCTACAGATCATCATTTTTAATGTACAGACTTTAAAGGGACAGTTCATTCAAAAATGAAAATTAAGATTTTTTTTTTTCATCCATACAATCCACGCAATGAAAATCAATGGCATCCAGCGTTGTTCTGGATCCCACTAACTTTCAATGTATGGGCAAAAACAGTTCTTCAAAATATCTTGTTTTCTGTTCCACATAATAAAAAAAGTCATACTGGTTTGCAATAATATGACGTTGAATTTTCTTTTTTGGATGAACTATCCCTTTGAAACTGCATTATTCCCTGAGACCAATGAGGGGGGAAAATGGAAGATCTGGGGTCAGTTTCATTTGCGTTTTCAACTTGAAGTTATAAATAAAGTATCTGAAATGTAATTAATTTTTGGAAAAATCCTCTGAGAACATGATTTTCTGGGACGGAAATAGTATTACATTTATTGGTTTAATTGAATTCTCTGAAGTGGGCTTATCTCTGCACTGAGAAAACGCTGTGATAAATCAATTGACTCTGGAGTACAGTGAAATCTATTAATACACCTCTGACCAGTGTAGATGTAGACTCCATTTGATGCTCCATATGGTGATGCATGTGGCGATGTGGGTGGTGTTTGTTGGATTGGATAAAGCTGTGTTGTTTTGCAGGAAATACCACGCAGTACGCTGGACTCGTTCATGCAGCCTTTTCAGAGCACTCTGTGGTTACTGGTGGGTCTATCGGTCCATGTTGTGGCGGTGATGCTCTACCTATTAGACCGTTTCAGGTAAAGGACAATATTTGTTGACACCTTAATGGGATACTTTATCCAAAAAATTTAAATTCTGTCATCATTTACTCACCCACATGTCATTCTAAAGCTGTATGATGTTTTGTTCTTTGGAACACAAAAGAAGATATTTTGAAAATATTTAGTCTGTACAATAAAAAAATACAATAAAGAGTCAACATTCTTTAAAATATAAGAAAATCATGAAGAAAATGACATAAAGATGACAGGATTTTCATTTTTGGGTGAACTATCCCTTTAAAAGTCATCCATGGATAGATGTAGGAATGACTGAACACACAGATGTGCGAATGAAGCTTGATATTAAGAAAGTTTGCAGAAGATCTCAGAAGTTTGGCTGAAGATTAACAACATTGTCTGGACGCAGTTTAAAAGCATCTGTCTCTGACTGATATGCGCTTTGCTGTGCAGCCCGTTTGGAAGGTTTAAAGTAAATAGTGAAGAGGAAGAAGAAGATGCCCTCACCTTATCCTCTGCTATGTGGTTCTCCTGGGGTGTACTTCTGAACTCCGGCATTGGAGAAGGTAGACATCAGCAGTAAGATTATTATTCGGTCTATTGGTGCTGTGAGGTGGAAATATTGCTGACTCTGTGTTTGATTGGTTTTGCAGTAAGCATAATTTTCTTTAGCGCTATCACCTCTCCGCTTACATTCACAGGTGCCCCTCGGAGCTTTTCAGCAAGGATTTTAGGTATGGTGTGGGCTGGTTTTGCTATGATTATAGTTGCATCTTATACTGCCAATTTGGCAGCCTTCCTAGTGCTGGATCGGCCTGAGGAGCGCATTACCGGCATCAACGACCCTAGGGTGAGCGCTAAATATGAAGCATGTTATACAACAGAATATCAAATAAGACTCTAAATTACCATGCACCGAGATTTCACATTTCACACGCTATAAAAACACCACATATAATTAAGCACGGCGAGGACACATAATTACGGGTCATTTGTTCGCAAAGGTTATTTTCATTTGCCTTGTTTCGTCATAACAACCTATGTCAGTTCTGTCATATGGGCTGAAAATTTACAAAGGACTCAATGTAAATATTTGAAAAAGAGATTTTGAAAAGTATATATATATTTAATGATATTTTCTAAAATGAGATATTTATTGATAAATTTACAATTGTGTTATTCTTACAGTTGTAGGTGCACAGAAATATGACTTCAGTGAACATTTTAGGTCATGCTTATTACCTTGGTTTGCCTCTATTCCCACAGCCATTTTCTTCTCAGAAATATTTCATGTAATTGCAGAGACAAAAAAGGCCATATTTTTGATTTGCAGACGCCAAACACCAGTTTACTTTAATAATTCAACATGTTTTGAATACATTTATCTTGCATAGCACCCATTTATCACATTTCATCCAGACCGTCCCACTGTTACCTTGTATTCCAGCTGCGAAACCCATCAGACAAGTTCATCTACGCCACAGTGAAGCAGAGCTCTGTGGACATTTACTTCCGGCGCCAAGTTGAGCTAAGCACCATGTACCGCCACATGGAAAAGCACAACTACGAGAGCGCTGCTGAAGCCATCCAGGCCGTGCGAGACAAGTCAGTCAACAATCAGAGTTTCCACTAATATTTTTAGTGTTATGCCAGAATAGGTTTATTGGGAGCTGTTGTATTAAATATTAAAAAGCATAATATTCAAACACTCCCTTTAGAGGCTGGGCATAGATACCGATGTCAGGAAGTGGGCAGCAGAAAGCTAAATTACCAGTCAGTATAAAGGGTGACACATGCTCCGTTCCCCTCAGTGAGTGTGCGAAGAGCAGAGAGAGGCTAAACCCCTGTTAGAGTGATTCAGTACACTATTGATGCTGAATACAAAGCAGGGTAGGGAGCTGTATTTTAAAGAAGGACCTTCACTACAAGGCTAAGATGGGAACAGATGGCAGACTGCCAGTGTGTTTAATACATTTTTCCTACTGATTTTTAATATCTGGAGTTCTGTAATCTCCAGGAATTAGTTCCACTTACCTCCATTTAGAAGATGCAAGTTGTGTTTTTTTCCCCCCCTTTTAATCCAGATGTAACAATAAAAAACTGGGATTTACTTTTTTCTCATTTAAACCTGCAAATAAACAAAGTTTGGGATTTTGAAAAATGTAGAACAAAGAAATGTTGTTACCTAAAATGTAGGATAAATACTTAAGATTCTGAATTATTTCTAGGTGACTAATCAAATAAGTCAATTTGTGTCATTTATCTTGTGACTCTTTGTACAGACAGATCTTGCTTCCACTGAAGCACAAGATGTTCTTTGGATCATTCTCAAATCATGCTGGATCTCATGAATCATCAGGTTTCACACAAACTTGTAAAGTTAATGCAGCTTGTGTGCTGCTGTCATTAAAGCAAAAGAAGGACTAGAAATATAAAATACTAAAATAAGACATTTTTTAATTTCTGTTTAATGAATTGATCATTGAAAGTGACAGCAAAGAACTTTACATTGTTACAAAACAATTCTATTTCAAATGAACTTTTGAACTTTTTATTCATTAATGAATGCTGAGGAATGTATTGTGGTTTTAACAAAAATATTAAGCAACACAACTGTTCAGCATTGATAATAATAAGAAATGTTTTTTGTGGATCAAATAAAGTAATGGCTGCTGAAAATTAAAATTTAGTTATTTGAAATTGTAATATTTCATAGTGTTACTGTTTTTACTGTATCAAATGATGCAGCCTTGACGAGCATAACAGACATATTTAAAAATCATAAAAAAATATGAATGATATTGTAAAGAAAAAGAATTTTATATTGCAAAAATGCAAAGTTTATTTTATCAAGACATATTGAAGTATTTTCAGTATACATTTTTTTCTACTCATAGCAAACTCCACGCGTTTATATGGGATTCAGCAGTGTTGGAGTTTGAGGCCTCGCAGAAATGTGACCTGGTCACCACAGGCGAGCTGTTTTTCCGCTCTGGATTCGGTATCGGGATGCGTAAAGACAGCCCATGGAAGCAAAATGTCTCACTAGCCATCCTCAGGTAATCTCAATCAAGACTAACCGTCCACAGTATGCAGCTATACTTTTGTTTGTTTTTTTCCTTTTTTCTGTTCCTTTCAGCTAATCCCTAGGCTAACCACAATCTGTCAACTGTTTCTATTTCTGGAATAACGGATTGTTTGACTGATGTGTTGGATCTCTGAACTAATAGTTCCCATGAGAATGGCTTCATGGAGGACTTGGATAAAACCTGGGTCCGTTATCAGGAGTGTGACTCCAGAAGCAATGCACCAGCCACGCTCACTTTCGAGAATATGGCAGGTATGATTCACCTCTCACAGGATCCCTTTTGCTTTCTAAAGAGCTGTTGACACTGACACCGATCAAATCCCTCAAGGTCGTTGAGTCTCTGTGCTGTTGGTTGCTAGTAGGGGGTTCTACTTGACCGTAGCATCCAGCTGTATCAGATTGGTAGTAGCCACATCATGTATCTGCTCATTTGCATTTAATTAAAACCAACTTTGTCATATCACCATTTGTCACTGAAGCTCATGTTGCCAACAAACGAAAAATCTAATTGAAAATGAATCTCTGTCAATGTGAACAGGCCTTAATAATCTCTCTGTTGCCTTCTTTGTCACATTGAAGACTGTCTGGAAATGATCAAATGTATTTTTCATCACACAGGCGTGTTTATGTTGGTGGCTGGTGGTATCGTTGCCGGGATCTTCCTCATCTTCATTGAGATTGCATATAAACGACACAAGGATGCGCGCAGGAAGCAGATGCAGCTGGCTTTTGCAGCAGTTAACGTCTGGAGGAAGAACTTACAGGTACAGCTGCCTCCCACCCCCCCCAAACTCTTATGAGAAACTGTCAGAGCCAAAAAAAACAGTCCAGTGGTTTCTGCAACAGTACAAAGAAGTCTCATAGATTTCTTCTAGTCACATGCCTGTCATCTGTTAATGACGCGACTTAAAGGTCATTGATGAGGCACAAATTAACACGTCATCAAAAGAGCAAACTCAAAAAGAATAGCCAAATAAGGCAGTCAAACTGAGCAGCAAATGGTGCAGTGAACTAAAGCATTTGTAAATATATTAATGCATGCGGAACACTTTTAATGAATTAATGAATAAGGGGTTTACAATGAGCTTTCTTTCAGATCAGGAGTTTTTAAACTTTTTGATGCCAAGGACCACCAAATCTGATGATGACTTTTCTAAAACATAAAGTCGACTATAAACTATGAAAATATGAAGAGATTTATACAGTTTGGATAAACATTTATACGCTACTGTTCAGAAGTCCCTTATGCTCACCAAGGCAGCATTTATTTAATTAAAAATACAGTAAAAACAATAATATTGTGAAATATTATTACAATTTAAAACAACTGTTTTCTATTTTAATACATTTTAAAATGTATTCCTATGATGGCAAAGCTAAATGTTTAGCAGTCATTACTCCAGTCGTCAGTGTCCTTATGATCCTTCAGAAATCAAATCAAATATGCTGATTTGCTTCAGAAACATTTCTTTTTATGAAAATAGTTCTATTAAATACTGAGTGCTGTTTAATATTTTTTTGTGGAAACTGTGATACATTTTCTTTTTGGATTCTTTGATGAATAAAACGTTTTTTAAAAAAGCGTTTATTTGAAATACATTTTTGGTAGATTTTTTTTTTCTTTTAATTTTTGATCAATTTAACAGTCAATTTTTGCTGAATAAAAAAAAATTATTCCTTTAAAAAAAGTCTTACTGACCTCAAACTTTTGAACAGTGATGTGTATTAACATTAAATAGTAAAAAATATTAAGTGGTGTCATGAAACTGCACAGAGACACAGTGGTTGAGGATCCAGACGCAGTATTTATTAGTGATGGGACAATTGATACCGCAGCTCCGATGCTCAGACGCAGTTTTCAAACCACTATTGTATCACACACTGTGCCGATGCTTGTATTGAAATGACAACACCACGTGATTGATGACGTTTGAAGCTTCGAACGTCATGCAGTATTGGAAGGTCGGGACAGCTGGTTTGAAAAAACTGCCGCTTCACGATCCCACCTGATGCATAAAAGGGTTATTCAGTCACTTTGAGGGCTGTCAGTAGGACATTTAATCATGTTTATAACTGGGGTCTCAGAGACCCCGAACACAGCATAAGGGTATAACAGCTCACCTCACCCAAAATATTTTTTTTTCAGCTACCCACGTCAATTATTAATTATGATCACATGTTTGTGTATTTTATATTATTGATCGATATGTGAATCCGTTGACCAAGCTATACATGACACGAGTTGTGGTCTCATTGGCACAAATTAATTTAGATGAGATAATATCAGATTAGATATTGTATTGATCCCAGATTGATTCCACTCTTGAATGTCACAGACTTCCGAAGCTTTATTTGGTCACATGCTTTTTCAAACCATCCTCTGCTCCACAATGATTTGTCAGTAATGTTGGAGAAAACAAGTCCTACCACCAGATGTCGCTAATGCACACTGTGTTAAAAGCTTCGAGTAATGAACCGTTTTTCGGCACAATTTCATGAAAGCCTCAAACGCTTCAGAAAGCCTCGGTTTCCCATCACTAGTATTTATTAAAGGGGTAACCCACAATCAGGCAGGGAACCAAGACACAGGAGAACCAGGAAACCAGGCTTAGAAGTGCAGTACAGACACATACAAGACTTAGCAAAGAATAACAGAGAGAACCGGGCTTTTATAGGGTAAGCTAACAAGGCTCATGAGACACAGGTGCAAACAATGAGTGCTGATGAGACTGGGCAAAGGATTATGGGATTTGTAGTTCGTGAGGCAGAAACAATCTGGGGTGGAATGCCCTCTAGTGGACAACCGGGGCACAGCCATGATCATGACAAGTGGGATATTTTTAAGAATACATGTTGTTTAAAAAAAATATATATATATATTTTTATATTGTCATTTTATTACAGCCAAAGATGTAATTAGATCTGGACAATATTTTTTGTGTATTATGTTACAGGGTGTTTTTTTCTTTCTACTATTAATGTAATGTTTAGTAATTGCCAAAAACAGAAGATTAACAATGTCAAGTGAAATTAACACAAAGTAAATATTTTCCAGATAATATTTTTGTAATTTGCTTTGGCTGTAGTACAAGGGCAATATAAAAGCCAATCATTTATTTTAGGAAACAAGATGTATAATGTTCTTTTTAGCAGCATCATATGACCCCTTTAAAACAGTATGCATAATAATTTTCTCACATAGTATAAATAGGTCTTTGGCAGCTTTAGATCATGCTTTAGATCATACTAATAAAGCATAAATACTCAAAGAAAGCAAAGTATAATTCACAGTTATGCTCTGCTTATAATACAGTGTGATTGTGAATATCTACTAAATTAATATAACCTCATAGTAGTACAAAAATGCCTCGAGGTAAAAAAGATAACAGGCCTATGCATAAATTTGGACATTTGGCCATGCAACAGCACACAAGTGTCCAAAATAATTCCTTTATAATAATAATAAGAGTAGTTGTCTGCAGATCCATGCAAGACACATCTCTTACCATCCAATCAAACTGCGCAGCAAGATAAAGCAGCTCCTGCAGCCTCACTATTTACACAACATGACATTTTTGAGTCAAATCATTGAGTCAAATTAAAACTTTTCTTGAATATGGTATAACAGTTTTTCAAAACCATGTAAAACCAGCATGAATACAAATTGTGCATGTGTATATAAATCTTTATTGTGGAAACTCTTATACATTATTGGCGTAAACTGGTTTACTAACCTGTTTGTGGTAGAATCATTCATGCATTGCTATAAAGTAAAGTGCAGTTGCAGATGGTCACATTTTGAGTCGCTCACTGTAGGAGATAAGACAAATGGTCCAAATGTGCTAGTCAATGAGGGAGTGACGGTGCCAGCCAAGGTCAACTGTCATGTCATTCATTTTGCATTCCCTTTTTGGTTTCATGTACTGCATGTCTTCTGGTTGAATTCACCAAACCCCTTCCCAACACTCTCGTCTCCTCTTATGAGCCCGCACATCCCTTCCTCCTTCCTTCATACGCCCATTATACCTTCACCAGGGTATAATGCTAAGGAACTGTGTTAAGTTTCGACTGTTTATTGATGAGTTGTTCATTTTCCTTGAAAACACAAGAACATCTTCTCACTTTAAAAACGGAGCCTGGTTTTTTTCCCCATCCGATTGCGTTCATTTTGCTTTTTTCCTTTGCTAATGCTTTGGCTTTCCATTTACGGAGTTGCAGAACTGTGGATGAGTGGGGTCTGATCACACGATCCACAGCAGTCCTCCTCCTCCCCTCTCTAGAGTGTCAGGATTGTAAAAGAGTCAAAGTAAGACTTTGTACACATTCGCACCCAGTCTATGCCAGTGTCCTCTTTCCTTGTAGAGCGCTGTGGGTGCGTGAAAGCACCATTCTGACTCACAGCCGAGATGGAGAGTGGACAGGAGACGCCATGTTAATTGTGATAAGCACTAAAATTAGCAGGGTAGTACCATTCAGTAGCTTTAGTAGTCGAGGTGGGTGGTGATGGTTGGAAACCAAACACGCTCTTCCAGAGAGCACGAATAATTGTTATACATATACTGTATATTTATTTTAGGATAGGAAAAGTGGTAGAGCAGAGCCCGACCCCATAAAGAAAGCCTCTTTTAGGTCCATCAGTACCAACCTGGCCTCCAACATCAAGAGACGTAGGTCGTCCAAAGACACGGTAAGAAGATTAAGAAAATGACGCCCTGCCTGTACTACTATCTTCTCGCTCTCTTCCTCTTTCTCTTCCTCCTCCTCCACCTCGGCCTGCACTGTTTCTTTCACTTTCTTCCTTTCTCCTGTCATCTCATCTCTCCTCTCCAAAACAAACGTCTCATCTCAGACTCTCTTCACCCTCACACATGGAGTTACAGTCATGGCCACATGTCTGTCAGTCAGCCATCTATACTCCATCCAGACATCTTTTGGGAAAGCCCAATCAGGGATCTAGCTGCCAGGGAAAGTGTGGCGAGGGAACCGAGGAGCAGATTTTTGGGGGGCTTGTGGGTTTGCCCTTGCAGAGGAGGGGGCGAGGTAGCTTCTCCTTCTTAGCGCCTGTGCTGGTCTTTCTTCCACGCCTAACCTGGATGTGACTTTACTTTATGCTTTTTTCTTTTATCCTTTCTTTATGTGTACTCGTGTGTCTCTCCTCTCACCGCTCGGTCCTGTAACAATTATTTCCATGTACCTCATCCTCCTTTTATTGTCCCATTTTTTTGTGGTTGCTGTCACAAAGTCACTCTGTATGCCTCCCGCGATGTACGGTATCGCCGTTAACACCCAAAGACGAGTGACGCTAAAATAACCTGGGCTGTTTCCCTGGCAGGCCTGCACTACCAAGATCCCTGCGTTATTTTTAACCATCCACTGTTTTCTTTGCAGTTCTATGAATAATAATAATAATAAAAAAATACTTTTCATTTTCAGGAAACACTGCTCAGATGGGTTTACGTTTACAATGTATTGAACTCTCAGAGCTAGATTCTCAAATGAGTTCATTCACACAAGCGCCTCCTCACTGTGTTTCTTCGGTCCCACAGGTTTAATAAGATGTAGCTCTCAAACCAAACAGCTACCGGCTCTGAGGATTCAATACAAACAAATGTGCAAGCACAAACACAGACTTTTTCACTGCATTACTTTAATTGGTTTAGAGTGAATTCTTATTCAATTACTCGCTAGGCATTTTCTGGGTATGGCAATGATTGACCTGGGGTTTTGTTTCATACACCCTCAACTTGAAAAATTATTCTGATTGGCAGCTCGTTTGGTTGATGGTTTGCGAAGAAATATCCAAATCCATGTAGCTCACATTTCAGTTGGGTTCTCCCTCAGTAAGATGGTTTAAATCATTTACAGAGGTGCGGGTGCAAAATGTGTTATTAAAACCTGATATGATTTTAAAATACATTTTCCAAAGATGAAGGCAGAATAGGAGCAGATTAAACATACAAAGTCTATTAGCTAAACAGTGCCAAAATGTCTTTTTGAACTGATGTTTACCCATCACAGTCCTAATCATCCTTTTCTTTTCTGTCAATGTTTTTTATAAATGGATTTGAATGGCGTTTTGAATGTCGGTGTCCACACCACATGCCACACTGCCTCTCTCTTCCTCTACCGGCATGACCCTTCTGGTTGTTGTAGAATAGAGCTCTAAAGCTTTTCCCCTGTTTGTAGACAGGGGGAGCTGTGGTTATGACTCAGAATTGACTTGGAACACCATAGAGAACGTTGTTATGAGTGAGGGCATCACAACACCCACTAAAGCCACTTCTTTTGATATATATTTAAAACTATATCCTGTAAATGTGATTTTAGATAGTTGTAGTGAATTAAAGGGACAGTTCACCCAAAAATGAAAAAATCTTGTTATCATTTACTCAGCCTCAGTTACCTTTACTTTACATAACCTGTATGATTTTATTTCTTCTGCCGAACACACACTTAGATATTTTTAACAATGTTTTTTCCCCATTCATTGAAAGTCAGCTGGGTCCAAAACACCCAATTGACTTTCACTGCATGGAAAAAAAAAAAAAAAAGACACTGGGACATTCTTCAAAATATCTTCTTTCGTATTCCACAGAAAAAAGACAATCATCCAGGGTTGGAATGACAATATGGATGAGTATAATATTTTCTTATGTGGAGAGTATCACAATAAAAAAAACCATTCAGTATAATAACACTGTAGAATCACTGAGAAATTGAGAACTATTGAGGGTGAAACCTGTGTCGAACTGGAATGAACTGCACCTTGTGCTGCATATCAGGACCGACTGTCATATTGCATTAGGACAGTTACTATGGCGACAACACTTTCTAGGTCAGGTAAATTATTAGCCATGGGCCGGGAGACAGAGCACTCTCGTTTGTGCCATTACAGGTTTCTTGTGCAGACATTTTTGCGTGTGATATACGGTACCCGTTTAAGGAAGCATATTCATTTAGGACTGTATTTAAGGAAGCAATTGTGCCGTGACCAAAATCCGTGACCTTGTTCACTCTATTTATCTTGCGACAGTCCAAGGAGGACTGTCTGTTTTTAAAACGCAGCCAAATTATTCTAGATGACAGATAAACATGGCTTGCAGTGGGTGGAGAGATCGCCTCCGTCATTACAACGTGAACTAAATACCGGTCACAGGAGGTACAGTGCATATGTTGGATTATGCAAATATATATCTTCTTACTTTTCCTTTTTCTGTTTCTTCCTCATCTATAGCCATATCCTACGGACATTACCGGCCAGCTCAACCTGTCAGACCCCTCTGTGAGCACAGTGGTGTGAACGTGGAGAGAGAAAGAGAATTTGACTGGCAGAAAGAAAGAGAGAGAGAGAGAGAGACTGGAAAAGCAGGAGGCGGTGGGCTCTGAAACAGACCGCTTGAGACAACATCTTCAGCACCGTCATTTGAGCAAAATCCACCCCATCTCAGCATATGCACGCTGGATATGAAACTTTCATGAACACACTGTGCCAGATTCAACCACACACTGGAACAAATTCACACTGCCACACAGTTCACACTAGACCAACACACTCACTCACACACACAAAGTGCTTCACTTTTTACAATTTTTTGCACATATCTAAAAAGTTTTTTTGTGAAATATGTAAATATATATTCAGACTTGTGTTTCTCCACATTAGGTCATCATTCAGTCTTAACAAGAGAAAATAATACTGAATTAGTTTTTCATTTTTATGATATGGATATAATTATGTTTCATACAGTACACATGTAATATATGTCTTTCTACCTCCACCTATGATATATGTAGCTTATCTCAAAACTTTGGTAGTGTTTTGATGTTTTCTCGTTGAAAAGAGCAAACACAGAACATATCTTTGACTTCTTTGTATATTTAGATTTGAAAAAGTAGGTTAGGGTAGAAATTGTGTTGCTATAAATAATACAGTAGGTGAAAGTTTGGCACATTTTGATCATTGTTGCACTTTGCTGTACACTTTGTTTCTTAATATGCGATTCTCTCCCTTCACTGCCATTTTCAAAACACTCTACTGAAGTGCTCAACAGGTTGCTTTGGACACATACTTTGCATCTTTTTTCGCAACTTTATTTATTCATTTATGTTTTAAATCTTTTGTACAAAAATAATTATTTTTTGGATGAGAACATCAACATATAATATGGGGTCAATTCAGCCAGGGGCTAAATGTAGCAGATCCGACCTTGTTTATCATAAAAGTTTAAAGACAAAACTTCAAACAACCGAAAGGAACCCGTTTATGATCAAGAGTGGCGTAGATGTAATGAAGCAGATATTATTACAGGATCTTTTGAGCTTAATGTTGAACCTTGCTTGAAATTCTCTGTAATAATTTCTGCATCATTGTGTGAGCTGGTAGCTAGCATCTGTTTCCTACCACACTGGGGACCTTTCCTCACATTATATATATTTCATCGTGTCATTATAATATATGAGCAGTATTATATTTTGTCTGTGTGTAATAATAACACTAGATGCTATTTCCATTGTTTGTTGTCAAGCTTTTGCTCTATGGACTAGTTAAATGGTTACTGGCAAAAGTTGAGTCAGTTGTCTTTTTCTGTGAGCTTTTAAAAGCATACTGACCAATAATAGGCGTATTAGATCACTGTATATCGATATAGATTACTGTATATTGTTCGTCTCAAACAAATCAGTCTGAGGGCTTTGCTAACTATTGTGAGAAGTTTAGAATGTGAACTATGCGTACTGTAACAGTAAGTTATGGAGCTATTTTATAAGATGAACACGTTAATATCAGGAAAATATATGTTTTAGATTAAAACTGAGAGTTTTTAATAGAAAAACATTAGATTCATAGTTCAGGGTTTGGTGGTCTTTGCTTGAAAATAGTATTCTGTTGGGTTGGGTTCAGCAAAGTATCCGAAGTCCAGTTTTACTGTGAACATGACTGTGAACTGCTTTGTGAAATTTGTTATGAAGCGTGTAACGCATTAAGCACATACTCAAATTCTCTATAGATTCATAATTATCAATCGTGCATAGAAAAATATATGCTTCCATATGCAGTGCTATGTCCATCAAGCTAATATTTGATCATACAATTGGAATCTGTGGTGAAAACCCACAACAGTGGCAGGAATAAATTAAATTGTGCAGCCTGAAGTACTTGTGAGGCTCAAGAGGAAGCACATCTTTGACAAACGAAGCAATGTATCCTGTCCCATTAACTGTTGTATGCATACATGCATTATTTCTAAAGCTTTAAGATATTGCAAGGCCATTTAAATCTGCTTTCACCATATTTCTCGACCACCAAATGTGCTTTTGATGACTATTCCAATACTGTTTGTGTAAAAAAAACTGAATTCAAACAAAGATATATGTTTAAAAATGTATAACTGCTATACTCCAGTGTGCCAATAAAATATGTATCAAAAACAAAAAAAAATGGTTTGAATAACTTTATGCTCACTGTTCTCTCTCTACCCTGCTTTTGTAAGAAAGACTAAAGTTTTAAAGTTTCAGAAAATCAATATCTTCATAATTATTTAAGAGTACTAGAAGTGGTAAGTGAGTGTTTCAGAAACAGAAAATCAGATATGAGGATTCCCTACAAGATTAAGAGCAAAGGTCAGCCGACTCTCTTCTATAATTAACTGCGTCTATAAGTGAAATTTCACACTGATTGCGCTATACATTTTTCTATGAGTGCACTACTGAATATTTGGTTAAATAGCAAGTGTATATTGTATTGATATTACTATTTGTGATTTTAATATTTTCTACAGAGAGTGATTGTATGAGTTATGTATTGCATATACCACGATGAACAAAATTCAGCAGCCTACATTAACATACTGTGCCCACATTCATTATTCAAGATATGAAATATGCCACAATAATGTTTATCATCAGCATTTTGGTACCACTCTGCTCTCATGAGGATATCGCACAGCGTGACAGCACGCATAGCCATTTGTTTCATGATCAAAGCAAAGAACAACTGACAATCTATTTTAATCTTCCAAGGACTTTCTGAAGTATGTGGAAGCAGTAGGTAAGAATAATGTACTGTAGGGAATATTCATTCATTTCTACAGCCATTGGTTTAACAGTCTGATGCATAAGAAGGTATAATTTTTTAAACCACATAAAATTAATTATCACTGCACAATCCGCCTCTCACATTAAACAGACACAGTCACAATATGGTGTGGAGAAGGTGTTGTGCCAAGAATAGAGAGGAGGAGCTGCTCTGAATCTGTTTGTTTTGACATTTTGAGCAGAAGTAATCCAAACAGGAGTACAGGTCAGTGAATGGACAAACCCTGGGGCATCTTGCAACCTGATGCTTGTTTGTCTTCATAAGCCAGCAGTCCTACAGCTTCTACATCAACTGGAAAGGTAGGCTTTTATTGGTTTTTATATTGCATTTGTGCTGTTTTATCGCTGCCATGGTAAGCAAACCACCGTATTTACCTCTCACCGGTATCTATGTAATTAATGTGACATTTCAGTAAACTAGAGGGTTTTTGATGCACCATTCAGTCGAAAAAGCCAAAGGCTATGTAATAATACACGTCTAATTTATTTTTTAAACATAACTCTTCTATTTAGAGTCTATTTCAGGTCATCAGTTGATCAAAAACTTGATCAAAATATAGTTGGCTTATAAGGATTGGATTTAGCACCCAGTCAATATAAGATAGGCCTACATGAATTTCTGTGTTTGGGAATGTTGAAAGTAAAGTCTGTCAACCAAGTGAATCATAATTTGAAGTACAGCCAAGATACTCTTTTGAAACACTTAGCTACACTACAAGCTACAAACAAAAAGTAGCCAACTACATTGAAGTTACCAAGGGGAATGTAAAAAAAATCATCCAATGATATTATAATTTGTCGTAAAGAAATATATTTTTTAGAATCACAATCTCAAACTTGAGCAGGTAAATTTATACTAAATAACTGCAACAAAAATACCAAAATTTACATAAATCGAACTGGTCAATCTGTTAATTTACATGAACCGTCAGAGCGAACTGATTCATTAAAATAAGGGGCCGATTAACATTACACAACACTGTTTTAAACTAAAAATGGAAAACTTTTGCATTTGGCCCATTTTGATGGCCTCAAAAACACAAACTTTTGAAAACAGGTTTCAAAGTGTAAGTTTTTGAAAACGATTGTTTGGAACGTTATTGTCTCCGTGTGAACTACAAAAAACTATGCGAATTTGCAAATTAATGCGAATGTGTGCGAGAAAATGACATCTACTGGCCTAGCATGCATAATACATTGTCGTTTTTGTGGATCAGTGGGAACGTTTTTCAATATTGTCGTCTGTAAGCTACAGGAAACTTTTAAAAAATGTTTAGGAAAAACCTTTTCGTTTTGTAGTACATCGTTGTTGTGTAAACGTACCCTAAATCAGACGTTCCAACACTACAAGGGGGGGGGGTCTGCTTTGAAAAATAAAATGTTTCTGAAAGTAATTTTCAGATGCAATGGGGGAAAACGGGATAAACACAAACACGAAACTTGTAAATAAAATAATCTGATATATAGCCTATGTACAATTTCGCTTTTAATCTGTGTATTTAACAACCTGGGAGACCTTCCCAGGGCAGTACCTTGCCTCACCGACAAAAATCAGGGCGCCCACTACGGAGACGGCACCAGAGGTGAGGGGGCACAGTGACCGAGGTGGCCGGGCCGGGCCCCCTCAGGCCCCCCCGTGGCGTCGACGCTGGGTAGCACTTTTAGCTTAGCTTAGCATAGATCATTGAATCTGATTAGACCGTTAGCATCTCGCTCTATATTTTTATATCTATACTCTTCTGTAGTTACATCGTGTACTAAGACCGACGGAAAATGAAAAGTTGCGATTTTCTAGGCCGATATGGCTAGGAACTATACTCTCATTCCGGCTTAATAATCAAGGAACTTTGCTGCCGTACCATGGGTGCAGCAGGCGCAATGCTATTATTATATTACATATAGTTTTACATAATTACTGTATTTGCATTATTGTAAGGGTAGGTTTAGGGTTGGGGTAGGTGTAGATGTTAATAAACCATAATTTAACAGGAAGCATTTTTCGTAGTCGAATTGTACTACCCACTGTTTTAATGGGCGGTAGCAAAATCTGACAGGGTAGCACAAATCGACAGAACACCGGGTTATCGTGTCAAACTCAATTCCTGGAGCCCTGCAGAGTTTAGATTCAACCCTAATTAAACACACCTGATCCATCCAGCTAATCGAGTCCTTCAGGATTATTTGAAAACAACATGGTATGTGTGTTGGAGCAGGGTTGGAATTAAACTCTGCAGGACTCTGGCCCTCCAGGAATTGAGTTTGACACCCCTGTTCTAAACCCTAAAATGTTTCACACTTGTAATTTAATAGCGAGGTTAGCGTCGCTTTTTACCCCGGGGTTATGGAATCATACTTTGGAAAACAAACAACACTAATAAGAAAATAAATGTATTACTTTCATGCTACTGGAAATATGGTTAATTTATTCCCTAACACTGATGAATTCTACATCTGAATAGATTGTGTTTGCATATTTATGCTAGACAAAAT